AGTTCCAAGAAAGCATATCGAAAGCCTTTTCAAGATCAATTTTAAGGGCCATTAAATCTTTTTCCCCATTTTGTTTCTTATAGTATGGATGATTTCTTGACCAATAATAATGTTATCATTACTTTGACGCCCTTGTATGAAGCTGCATTGATTATCACTGATTAAGTGGTTTATGTAAGCGAGAAGCCAGTTGGATAGGATTTTGGTGACAATTTTATAGCTCATGTTATAGAGGGATATAAGATGAAAATCTTTCATACAAGTAGGATGATCATTCTTTGGGATAAGAATAATAAAAGTGTCATTAATCATCCTAATGGTATTAGGTTCCATGAAGACTTTTTTTACTAACTTGAAAATGCTGAGTTTTAGGTCATCCCAATAAGTGTGAACAAAGTTAGCATTGATACCATCAAGGCTCGGAGCTTTGAAAGCGCCAATGTCAAAGGCTACATTTTTTATTTCTTCTTCAGTCACCTCTCTGTGAATAGTTTGAAGTTGAATAAGGGAAAGAGGTGGGAAGTTTCTATCAGAATTAAGCTTAGGTCTGACATCTGTGTCTTCCTTAAAGAGGTTGTCAAAGTAAGAAACAGCCATATTTTTCAGTACATTCTTATCATGAACCCAAGTAGCATCATCATCTTGGAGCGAAAGAATTTGATTCCTTTTTCTTCTAATAACAGATGTTGCATGAAAGAATTTAGTATTTTGATCACCCCATTTTAACCATTTGTGAAGAGTTTGATTGTAATCTTCCTAAAGGAATTTTTCCAAATTTTTGAGAAAATAGTTATCCCTATAGTTTCTATTCCTGTCAATGCCTTTTAGATGATGAAGAATTCTTTTCTTCTTAAAAGATATATTGCCCATTTTAACTTTGTTCCAATGAGAGGCAGAGGTTGCAAATTTTGATAACCCTTCATTCCAGTCATCTGAAACCCAAGAATCTTTAACTAAAAGGTGAAAGGAGTCTTCCATCATCCAAGCAGCATGACATCGAAAGGGAGTATTCTGATGCTCTTGGCAATTCCTCTTAGTGAGTTGTATTCTAATCGGGCGATGGTCAGAACCATACTTAAGAAGGTAAAAAGAGTCAGCCTGATGAAATTGAAGTCTCCAATTTATGTTACAAAAAGTCCAATCAAGCCTTTCTTTGATTTTGCCTTTTTCCCAAGTAAATCTATCACCATGGTAGTTTAATTCCAAAAGATTGGAAGCATTTATATAGTGTCTAAATTGCTTCATGGAATTTTAATTAAAACTATTACTTCCAAACTTATCCTCACAAGAAAGATAAGAACTGAAGTCCCCAACTACAAGCCAAGGTTCAGTGTTATTCTGGGCAATTGAAATAATGGAGTCCCAAAGGAGATCACGGTTAAAGGGGTTAGGGTCACCATAAACACAAGATAGTAAATAATGGTTATTTGAATTAAGAACATTAACCCTAAAATGGAGAAGTTGGATGTTGGAATAGATGTAATCAATATTAACAACATCATTATTCCATAATAACCAAATACCACCAGCGTAATTAGTAGCTTTCACATGAATCCAGTCACAGAAACCGAGTTTCTTGACAATTTTATCAGCTCTAGTACCACTAGCTCTTATTTCTAAAAGAATTAGGATTTGAGTATTATAAGTTCTAGTGATTTTTTTTACACATTTGTTGAAACTTTTAGCACAAGAACCTTTACAATTCCAACAGATAATATTCATAGAATTAAAAAAAGATTAGGTAAACCTGGATAATGTTTAGTCATTACAAGTTTCAACTGAGTCTTCAATTTAATCATCACTAAATTCATCATCTTCCATGTCCTCATTTTGGACTTGAATTTGATAATACTTATCTAGGAGATCTTCTTCAAGAATGTCATCTTCATAGTTTTCAAGAATGAAATTGACAGCATTATTAATTCCAATTGGTCATTTTGTTAGTCCATGGCATTAGTCTTGTTTAGCTGGGTCTCAAGCACAGTGTTCTGACTAACCATTGGATTAGGTGGTTTATTTTGGACAAGGAGAGAAGAGTTTGATGAATTGTTGATTGAGATTCCAGAATAATCATAGTCAATTCTCTAAATATTAAAATCTGGAGCATAAGTTTTGCCATTCTCGCTTCTGTTTATTGCTTCTAATTCTACTTTGTTCTTTGCTGAATTTTCACTGATGGGCCTGTCTGAATTGATCAGAATTCGTTTCTTCCTTTGATAACATTATGGATCCTTTTTATAGGCTTGATAGACGTGTTAATGGGCTGAGGAGAATAAATAGTAGATTTTTCAATATTTAGCATATTTGGGCCATCCCATGTGAAACTCGGCCCAATCTTTGTGGTTTTGTGGCCTTAGATTTCCCTTTTCCCTTTAGATTTTCAACCGTGACTTCACTTTCATTCGGGCGAGATCTTTTAGCACCAAAGAGATCCTTTTTCCGCCATACTTGTCTGACAGCTTTCGTAGCTAAGGACTGCTTAGGTCAACCGTTGTTTGCTGCAGTGCTATCTCTCCCATCTCTTCGCTGTCCAACGGTGTCCTAGTTGAGATCAGCTAGCATGTCGTATCATGATCCAGATGTAAGTTTAGGGTCTCGAATCTGATGTAGCGATCGATTGTCTATTAGATTTTTTAAAACTCGCATGTTTCTGGATTGTCTTGCATCTCGTCTGAATCTCATGAAGTCTCCGAACTCCTCTTCCGATAGATCTAGCTCCACATGCCATGTTTCTTTCTCCAAGGTTCGATTTTTTGGCGTATGAGAACAATTATTTTTGTTATGGCCATAGCACCCACATCCGAAACAGATTAGATTAAGGCTCTTATATTCAACATTATAGAGCTCATCTTTAAGGAGAATTTTGGGGACAAGTTTTCTCTGAAGGTCAACTTCACTTATTCTTACAAATTTTCCATGCTTAGTTTTGCCATTTTTGTCTGTAGAATCCGATTTAGATAAGGAGTTAAAATCAACTTTAAGGGTCTTGCCTATGCAATTTCCTAATCTCCAAAGGATTTCCTTGTTATAGCATTGAATAGGGATATTTGACAGCCTAACCCAGAGGGCAATTTTCCCCAAAATATTTGAGTTTGGATTAAAACTAGGAGACCGCCTTTGAACTAAGATGCAATGATCAAATAAGGTCCAAGGTCCACAATTGAGAATTTTGTCATAAGCAGTGTGATCTTTTTGTTTTAACTATGTAGTAACTGTTGACAAGATTGATTAGTTCAAAATCCTTAAGTTGCCACATTTTTGCTAACCTGGGTTTAAGTGATTTTGGATTGAGTTAGAGGCCCAAAGTGTTGATTATAATAGCATCCATCCAAGGTTGACATATTTTCTTCCATTCTTCATTAGATATTTGTAGAGTAGGGTATTGATCCATTAATTGCATAGTTCTTTCAGAAGGAGACCATTCTTGTTCTAGTTCCTTGGCAAGTGTTTCGTTTCTATGCTTGGTTTCTCTCCCAATATGAATTCCGGAGCATCCATTGTAACCGATTTGTGATTCTTTATAAGAGATAGGAATTTTGCCTCCTTTGATTGTTGTTGCTGTTTTGTTTGATGAAGCATTAATTCCTTGGATTTCATCTGTTTACACGTCCATTGCCTATTCCTTTTGGAGATTTATTTGGCTGTCATTTTGATTGAGGCTATCTTGTTGGATCTGACTATTTGAGTGCTGGTGATCTTCTGGATCTTTGTCTATCATTTCATCATCTAACTTGGAGGTACTTCTGTTGAGTAAATCAATTTCTTCTTCAAATGCAGGTGGATTCATGGCTCCTTTTTTTTTGAAGGAGATGTTGAGAAGGTGAAATTTGGATCAAGCTTAGAGCTGGAAGTCATGAGCAGTAGAAGAATTGAGCAGGAGATAAGGTGGTGATGAAGAAGATGAACCTTCTCTCTAGTGAGGTGAATGACCTTTATGTAAGTCTGATTTACTCATGAGTGAGGTTGGTCGTTGTGTGAATGAGTGAGACAAAAGAATTCAAGCCTTTCCATGTATATAATGTATGCTTTTCATTTGTCTTAATTTCCCTGTTGTGGCTTTTTCTAGATGTTTGTAATTCTGTTTTGATTAGAATGCATATTATTCAGTTGAAAAAAAAAAAAGACTTCTCCTTAATTCATAGTTCTTGATTTTTTTTGTCATCTAACCTTTCTTTAATCATACAAAAAATAACCTTTTCTCCAATTTTATTATATCAAAACATGTGTTTTCCATTTCATCACATCAAGAACAAGTCATAATTAAATTAAAACCAAAAAGATTAAAAAATATTGAGTTATAGTTAAGAAACCAAGTTACAATCAAGTTAAAATTTTAAAAAATAAAATATTATTTTTTAGAATAAATATAAATATAAATAGTATATAAAATATTTATCTCATTGATTTAATTAAACAAGCATATTAAATATAAAATGTTAAGAATATAAATTTTCCTTGCTAGCTTATATTATCTTACTCTTAGCTTGATATAAATGAATTGAATCAATAGTGTAGTATAATTATTTTATTTCGATTTAAAAGGTTTGATAGTAATTTCAAATATAAAAATTAACTTAAAAGTTAAAGGGAAGAATAGAAATGGGACGTCAAAATTATGGATTTAGCTTTTGCAGCGATCTAAAGTTTAGACTGTTTAAATTAAATTTAGATGATTTAAATTTAATATTTTATTTTTTATTTTAATATTATTTTTTATTTTTATTAAAATAAAAAATTACTAAATTTATTAATAAGTTTAATAAATGTAATTATTAATCTAGATAGTCTAAACAGTTTATATTTAATATTTAATTTAATTTTTTTATAAATTAATTGTTTAAATAGATATATTCTGAGCGATGCTAATTTAATATGAAATTTGAATTAATAATATTAAATTTAAATTATTTAAATTTGTGATCAGATTAACTATTCAAATTTTTATTTTAATGGAAAAAGGAATATTAACGGTTCAGATTTTGAAGGGGTGCAGCGGAGGCTCCTCAAAGCCGGGTCCCAAAATTGCAAGGGGGGAACAGAAGTACAGAACTGAAACGTGAAACCTGGGAAAGGAAGACGGAGAAATTCGATCGATAAGAGACACAGACTCAAAATCTGACGAACAGAGATAGTCACAGAGAGAGAGAGAGAGAGAGAGAGAGAGAGAGGTGCAGTGGTGGGTGCTATGACGGAGATATTCCTGTGGCTTTTGACCTTTTTCCTGATTTTGGCTTTGCTTTGTCTTCTTGGTTATCAGGTATCATCTCAGTCAACATTTCTGTATTCCTTCTGTTCCGTGAAACTCCTCAACTTTGATTCCAATAAATTATCTCATGTATGCTCGTGGCTTTACATTTTCTTTTACTTTGCGCTTTCTTTTCCCAATTCGGTTATGATTGTTGCAGTTCAATAATGTCTAGTGGGGTAACCCTTTATAAGATGGACGAAACCGTCAAATAGGTAAAACGACATAAGTTTTGATCTTAATTGTAGAAAATACTCTTCGCAATTGAGTAATCTACCGCATTATACAGTACCATTTTCATTTAATTGAAAAACAATTCGTTTTCCCCTTTGGAATTTCAGTTTTCTTAGTTCTTAATTTGTACGAGCTCTTTCCTATATCGCATTTCTTAAAGCTCATTACTTTCCCCAATAAAGGAAGTCCCTTCGGAGGGCTTAACTCATATAAAGAACATAAAAGGACATAAGTTATAGATCTCACTTGTAGAACATTGACTTCACCAGCCTTAACCATGGGATTTTTTGTCTGTTGATTGTTAGATTTTTTGTCTGTTGATTGTTAAAGATGCTTCTTTTTCTTCTATGTGACTATTCATGTATGATGTAAGTGCATGTATTAATTAACTATGACAACATTGTACTTTATTCAAGTCTCTGGAATCTTTCCAGCCAAAAGATAAACTTTCCTTCCCCTTTATTTTTCTTTTCCTGTTATCATGCAACTCAAGCTCATCAATTTTTTTCATCTTAAAACTTTTATCCGTTTATACATATTCATATGGATTGGGTATGGACGAAAAGCTCCAAAAAAAGGGGTATGTATGCAATGAGTTAATGTCAGAATCCATCTTTTATTTTAAATTTAAATTGCTGAAAGTCTTCCATTATGAGTTTAAAATTTATAGTTATTGTGGATGCTCTTATAATTTAAAACTGGGGATAACATTATACAATTTCTGCTTTGAATGGGTACTTCTAATTCTAATTTTATATTCCATATATAACTGGAAGAGATTTTTTCTGCCCTCTTAGAGAACTTTGCCAATGAAGTTTAACATTCTGATGCTTTTTTTCCCCCACTCTTAGAGAACTTTGCCGATGAAGTTTAACATTCTGATGCTTTTTTCTTGGCAGCTTATATTGTTAGTGGATCTAGAGTTTGATTATATCAACCCTTATGATTCTGCTTCTCGGATAAACTGGGTTGTTTTGCCAGAGTTTATCGTCCAAGGAGTCTTATGCTTCATCCTTCTTGTAACAGGGAACTGGTTGATGTTCTTGTTGTCTCTCCCTTACCTGTATTACAATGTGACATTGTAAGTCTGTCTTCCTTTTTCAATCATTTTTAATTATGTAATGTCAATAATTAGATGGTGAACATTTTTTTGTTATAAATTGGATATTATAGGAACTGTATTTCCAGACGTTAGACATTTTTTTTAAACTTTAGACTAGCTTCATTAAGGTCTTTACAGCAAATTTTAAATTTAAATATTGTAGGGAGGTATCTATTTGTAGCAGTTAAGTTGTAATTAACTCATTAAGATACATTTCAAGTACTCACACCATAACTTTCTAAGATACTATTTTGTTATGTAAATGATGCTGTTCTGTGATTGGGACAGACACTAGAGGTTCCATGTGTAAAGAATAAAAAAGAGAAGAAATAATTTACCCTTGGAACTCTCTGATAAGGTCACTACACAGGGATCCTGAAACACAAAATTACTGAGAAATTACAAAACGTGGGAGCTCCTATTCTTTATGCTTAATTTTTCTTCCTTTCTTCCTTTATTTGTTGTGTGTGTGAACTTACAAAATATTTGAAGGGTCTGTATGTGAGGTACCAGTTGAGGAAGTTTGACAAAGACAACCTTATTCTCAAGTGGAAGGAGCTTAACTAAGATGTTTATCATCTTATCCTTCTTTGGAGAGGGTGTTAGTAGGAGATGGCAAATTGCATTCAACTGATGTAAATTAAAGTTTCATAAATATTATGTGCCTACGTGGGTTTATGTAATAGAAAACGCGAGAACTTCTATACTGACTTAGGAATTGGAAAGGCTGGTTACTTGAAACAAATTGTTATGAATGGGATTCTAGGACCCAAACTGTGATAGGTGGTTTGATATCTTGTTGCTTGAAGAGATTTCAAGGTTCGAACGGTGTTGTAGAGGATTTTAACTGGGGATAAAATGTGGAAGAGGAGAGTTTCAAGAGGTTGTTCAATTGTCATTGTCAGCGGCCAACATTGTAATTGTGTTTAAAAATGAAGGCGCTTTTGATAGTAAAAAAATCTGCTTCTGCATCATGGTTGAAGAACAAGGTAATCTATGACTGAGACCAAATTTCCTGTTTGTATAATGAGAGATAGGTGCAGCTATAGGCTTATTAAAACATTATTTTTTTCATGGTTAAGGGCTGTTGTTACTGTGCTAGAGTTATATTAATGATCATAGGATTCTTAAATATATTGACTGATTACCTTAGAACTATTGATAAGACACTTTGGACTCAGACCATCCTCATGATGATTCTCGTTTAAATACCGTGTAATGTAATATTGAATTTTATTTAAGTAGTTTCTAGACAATGAAGCTTATTCTGACTATGCAAATAGTCAAAGAACAATGAAAGGGAGAGAAGGGAAGTGAGAGGTAGGGATAATTAAAAGATAATTTCCTTATCCCTCTTCAGGACAATTTTTCCCCCAAAATAAAATTACAGGAACTTAAAAATAGATAAAAGATATTATTTGGGAAGATTGGGAAGATGAGTTGGAAATCATATATTGTCCTCATCTTGTTAAGTTAAACTCAAGGGAAAGATTCCAAGAAGACCTTCCCTTGTATTCCTTTCTGTCATTCCCCATCCACATAATCCCATACTTTCTGAGAATTGGAGGACGAAGATGGGAGAGTATGAAGTGAATGGAAGAGTAGAGAAAAATGATAAGAAATGGTTTAATTTTAATTTTTACCCTCTGGGTTGTACGATCCTTTTCTGTCAAAATCCCTCAAGGGGAACTTGAAAATACAAAGGAAGAAGCACTTTGGGAGATTTTGGAACGTTAGTTGAAAACCTTTCATTGTCATTGTTGATTGTCCCTTCCATATGACTGCCAAACAAAGGAAGGGTTTTAATGAATGAAACCTGCCCATCCCCTTTAACATCTTCAAATTGAATGTACCCTAAGACTATTAAAAGCTGGGGTAGCATACCTTTGAAAATTGTCTCTGTTATGTTCACTAAATTGAAGTCTTAGGGCCCAAGAATATTAAATTTCAGAAACACAGAAATGATTTGGGCATGGATATAAATTGCAGTTTATGCTCTGTTTTGCCATTCAATTGGTGCCATCAATGATATTACAATGTCCGACTCAATCATGACCTATTGGCATTAGCATTGTTTTTGCAGCTTATATTTTGTTTGATTAGTCTGGTTGAATGCATGATCACACCCTGTATTCTGATTTCTGGGCTGGGTGTTTCGAAAACGTCTTTCGAGTCTTTCATTTTCAAAATTAGTATCTATTGTATTGACAATTGTATATGACATTGTTTATTCATCTGGTTACATGCCCTAAGCAGAGAACTTTACCTGATGTTCAATGGTTTCACTTTACCTTCAAGTCTCATGCTCAATTGTTAGCTTCATCTTTGGTTTTCTTATAAGATATGAAATGGTACATGAGATTTTTGGAGATCTAAATTTGGATTGTGGAATTTCCATAAACTTGTTTCCCTTACTTTTGGTTCCTTTTTATATTAAATTATTCAGATATTAAAATAAAATGCATACCCATCTGTTTCATGCTTTTACTACTGTTCACACTTGGAAAATGCAGGGTTCCCAATAAGCTTGCTTGCCTACAGATTTGAAATTAAAGAGCCAAAGAATTCTTTTAATAATTTGTAGACATAATCTATAACCTTTTGAATATATTTTCCAGCATATTTCCACCATTGATGACTTGGAAGCTGTTCTTCAGGTACATGACGAGACAGCACTTGGTAGATGTTACTGAAATCTACAATCAGTTGAAGTGGGAAAAGAAGAAGAGATTCATTAAAGTTGGATATCTTATCCTGCTATTTCTCGTTTCTGTGTTCTGGTATGGTGATGAGAAACTCGTTCTTTTGTTAATTGTTCACTTCTGTGCTCTTTCAAAAGTAGAAGGTGGCGAATATTTCTTTCATCTGAATGTGTTATAGGTTGGTTTGGAGCATTGCTGATGTAGATGATTAACCAGTGGATCACCTCTCTCGCCATTTGTAAGTTTCCAGTACTTTCAAAAGTGTGCTTGAGCAACTCATTCTAAGTTCCTCAGTTGTATGTATGTCAGAGATTAAATTATTGGAAAGGAGTTTCTGGTTGAGAGGTTTATTTTGATTGAATCTTTTTGTTGAGTTTGCATAATTAGGAATCGTAGTCAAGCTTGTATTCGCAATTCTTAGAGCTGATCCATGAAGAATTGCAATTTGCAATCATTCAATTGACATTTTCTGTTTTTTCTTTGATTGACTTGGACCCAACATTCATCTTCTCTAGCCATGAAAAGTTGATTTATCAGGGCCTCATTGATGCTGATAGAAACCACCAGCAAATTGAAACTTTTGGTTATGTTGATTTTAAGCTATAAATTAACAGTCCTTTTGTTTCCATGGTTGATATTCCAGTTCTCATGTTTACTCAAATCCTTTCATGAGTCCAGTAGGAGTCCTTTTTTTTTTTTTTTTTTTAATTTGGGGGGGGGGCATGCTCATATACTTTGATAGGTCCAGTGAGAGTTTTCTAACTTAATTGCAGCATTTAGTAATGTGCAAAGGTCCAATACTAGTCTGTTATATTTTTACTTCCTTTACCATGAGACGTTTTCTAAAAATCTTGTTTTGTTCAAAATATAAGGTATTAGGTATATTTTATATATTTTTTTAAATTATACCATTACTTTATTATATTCCATTCAAGTAATTAATGTGGGTATTTTGAATAAGTTAAATGTTATATTTATTTTACATAAGGGTACAATGGAAAAGATGTTAAAAAATTTAAAAAATAAAAAATTATAATCAACTTCTTTTGAGAAATATAAATTAGTTAACAATGAGTTGTATTGTGATTTGAAGGGAATATATGACAAGAAAGATTTAAATTTTCTTTTGGATAGGAAAAGAAAGACAATCAAACAATTTTAAATATAAAGAAAGGCCTCAATTATTTGGGAATGTCAGATAAGGATTTTATCAAGTAGTGGAAGCTGGAAATTTTAGTTATGTGACTCCTAATTTTTTTTAATAAACTTTTAAAATTTCTTGTAACTAGATTTGATTTTGATAAATCTGGGAATGGAAGTTAAAATCTTTTCTCATTGTGTGACTTCTAAAGTTTTTTGGCCGAATTTCATTCATTTTGTTATTTAAATAGTATTGACTCTTTGTAAGTATTTGTTCCTTTTTGAAAGTTGTTGGTAAAAAAGAACTTCCTTTTTGAAAGTCTGAAAAAAATTGGGAAAATGGTGTATCAATTAATCTAAGCAACTTTTACATGAGGAATAGGAAAACCTAATATTGCCTAATTAATAAAAAAATATTCCTTGATGAATACATGGATATAAATATACAAGTTTTTTCTTTTATATATATATATATATATTTATATAAATATATATATATATATAAAAGAAAAAACTTGTATATTTAGCTTTATGTACTTAATGTGTGTGTATCTTTAACAGATTATTTATGTTATGACAAATTCTTATTATTAGTATTATTAATACATTAAAATTTATATGTCTTGATTTAATTGGATAAAAATATATGAAGTATATAAGGTTTAGTACACAAGTTTTGCCCATATATATATATATATATATATGAGTGATAATAGATTGTAACACCCACTTCAAATTCAAGATGGTTCAACAGAAAACATCTTAAGTTTGTCTATGAAAAATTGGAAAATAACTTGGATGAAAAGACTTGGTTAGCAGTTAGAATGAGAACTGGCTAGATAATATTGTGAACAACATGTTATTGAATAAAATGACAATCAATTTCAATAGGCTTGGTCTTTTTATGAAACATATCATTATGAGGAATCTTAATAACACTTTCACTATCACAATAAAGATCAATTTCCAATCTTGGTCTTGGGCCAAAGTTTTTGGGAATATATGTTGGCTTCTCTAGGCTACACGATGTAAGGATAATTTTGAAGATACCAATCACTCTGCGGGAGACATTATCAATTCATGTGGGAGTTTGACATGGAATTCTAATGGCAACTAGCTTATTGGATTTATATGTGTGGGAATATCATGTCCATTACGACACTAATTGATACATGCAGAGTCAACATGGACGTCTACTATTGACTTATCAGAGAAGAAAGGGGAGGAAGTTAGAGTTAGTTATGCAGAATTAAATTGGTTTTAATTTAATTATTTCATTTTCAGTGTAGTTGGCTAAATAAGTGGATCAACTTTTGATGTGTTCACCCACGTTAAGTCTATTTGAGTCAATTTTTGTTTGAGTCAGTTATTATCCCAAATATGTTGGGATATTTTCTTATTATTTATTTATTATTTTGGTGTAATTCCTGTATTATAAATGCGCTAGCTTTCATCATAGCTAGACATTTAAAAAATAAAATACTATTTTCCTTAGAGAATCTCCTACTCTGGCTATTAATTTTTTAGAGTGAGATTCTTGCCCTAATTTATTTAATAGATTTATTTGCTTTCCTTATCATTTTAAGTTCCTATCAATTTGGTATTTGAGTCAGGTTTGATCAATATGGTGACCACACGCTCTGGTAATGAAGCCATCGATCTCAATGCCAATTCCTCCAATAACCCCCTATGTAATGAATCTATAGTCAATCCATTTTCAGAAGACATATTAACAGCAATTGCTTCCAAATTAGAGACACTTGATTTGTTGAAAGAGAAGATAGAGGCCCTTGAGGCTTCTGAAACGAATAGAGGCTAGCGAACCGTAGAGAGCCATTATAGGTGCTCACATTGGGAAGGTGATAGTGAAGATGACTATGATCGAAGGGGGCCATGTCCACCCTATGCAAAAATTGAATTTCCAAAATCTAGTAGAGGAGACCCTTGAGGATGGATTTTAAAGGCTGAAAATTTTTTTTGGTATTATCAAACACCAGAAGATTTGAAAGTAGATGTTACTTCAATGAGTCTAAAAGGAGATGCTTTAGATTTATTCTCATGGGTAAATTTAGAATGCACCTTGTTGTACTGGGATGAGTTGGTCAAGACACTATAAGAGCACTATAGGCCTCCTGAATATCAAAATTCAGATGAGCACCTTATAACCATCAAGCAAATCGAATCAGTATAGGAATACTGTCAAGAATTTGCCAAGCGGGTAGCATGAGTTCACAACTGGCCAGAGCATTGCCTCTTGGGTATTTTTCTGGGTGGCCTCAAGAGGAATTAAAAGTTGATGTGCGTATTTAGAAACCTAAAAAAGTGTTTAAGGCTGCAAGTTTGGCCTTGGAATTTGAGAAAAAGACTTAAAATGCACGTGGACCCAGGCCCAATTCCTCATACACTCAAGATCCCCTAAATCAGTCCCAATTTGCACGTGATTTTTGCGATTCTAGAGACTCCAATTTACTGGCTTTGTCTGCATATCCCTCCAAACCAGCTTCTTTGGTCTCAATCACCCCTAAATACTCTTTAGCAGTTGTGAGAGTCTCTCCCGAAGATGCAGAAGGTCAAAACCGACAAGATACAGGTCTGTGCTTCCGGTGTAGGGCTATCCTCCGACTTGGGCATCGCTGCAATGCCTCTTTTTCTTTGCTGGAAATTTCTGAAGAAGTTGAAGAAATTCTATCTCCACTACACGAAGAAGCGAGACAGAAATGGAGCTAGAGGAGGTTGAAATCTCATTTAATGCAATTGTAGGACAACATTCGATAGCCACAATGAAACTTCAAGGCACGCTTAAGGGTTGTACTATTTTGATTTTAGTTGATAGTGGCTCCATGCACAATTTCATTTCAAATGCAGTGGCATCCGAATTGCAACTCCCTGTGTGAACTGTTCTAACTTTTGGAGTTCAAATTGGTGATGGTAGTAGATTGAAATGCCATCAGGTTTTGCCTAAAGGTTGAGGTAACAATTTTTGATTTAACTATTCAGCAAGATTTCTACCCTTTCTCCTTGGGTGGTTCTGATTTGCTACTGGGTATTAAATGGTTGGCTCCATGCACAATTTCATTTCAAATGCAGTGGCATCCGAATTGCAACTCCCTGTGTGGACTGTTCTAACTTTTGGAGTTCAAATTGGTGATGGTAGTAGATTAAAATGCCATCAGGTTTTGCCTAAAGGTTGAGGTAACAATTTTTGATTTAACTATTCAGCAAGATTTCTACCTTTTCTCCTTGGGTGGTTCTGATTTGCTACTGGGTATTAAATGGTTGGCTTCACTAAACACTGTGTAAGCTAACTTGAACAAAATGTTTTTGATTTTTTGGCTAAATGGGAAGAAATATAAGCTGCAAGGTCTACCTACTAATAGTGATGCTTCTGTCCATCTCCATAGCATGCTTCTTAATCAAAAATCTAGGGATGCATTAGGACCTTTAAATGTTGACAGAAATTTTCATGATTTTGTTGATGTCTTTTTTGAGCCAGGGTGCTTGCCACCACCCTGAGATCATTACTATGCCATCAAGCTATTACCAAATACTATACCTTCTAATCTACGGCCATATTGTTACCCTCATTACCAGAAGGATAAGATTGAAGCTCAAATTGAGAGCTTGCTACAATATGGATTCATACGACCTAACACCAGTCCATTTGCCAGTCTTATGCTACTAGTTGGTAAAAAGGATGGTTCTTGGTGCCTCTGCATTGACTACCAGCATCTTAATCAAATCACCATCCTAGATAAGTACCCCGTTCCCAATGTTGATGAACTCTTAGATGAGTTGTATGGGGTTGTCTACTTTTCAAAAATTGATTTACAGTTTGGATATCATCAAATCCATGTTCTACCGGAGGATGGACATAAAACAGCTTTTCGCACTCACTTAGGCCATTACAAATTCTTAGTTATGCCATTTGGTTTAACTAATGCACCGGCTACCTTTCAATCTATTATGAATGGCTTATTCAGGCCTTATTTACGGAAATTTGTGCTGGTATGTTTTGATGACATCTTAGTTTACAGTGCTACCTCACAATAGCATTTACAACATTTGAGAGCAGCATTCCAAATTTTACAAAAGCAATCCTTCTTTGCCAATGCCAAAAAATGCTCGTTAGGCCAGACCCAAATTAGCTACTTAGGCCATATGGTTTTTGCCCAAGGGGTTGAAGTGGATTCTGAGAAAATAACTGCAGTGGTGCAATGGCCTACTCCCAAATCCGTAAAAGAGCTCCGTGGGTTCCTAGGGCTCACTGGTTATTACACGTGTATTGTCAAAAACTATGGTATTATTGCTAGACCCTTGACTAAACTAACCAAGAAAAATTCTTTTTATTGGTCTAAACAGGCACAAAAAGCTTTTGAGGCATTAAAATTAGTAATGACCACCACATCGATGCTGCAACTACCAAACTTTCATCTTCCTTTCACCATTCAGTGTGATGCCTCAATGGAGGGTATTGGTGCTGTCCTAGTTCAAGAAGGATATCCAATATCTTATTTCAGCAACAGATTCTCTTTTTCCAACAGGTATAAGTGCACATATGACAAGGGGCTGGCTCTAGTGCTTGCAATTCAAAAATGGCACCATTACCTATTGGGTCGCCATTTCTATGTCCAAATTAATCACTGCAGCCTTAAGTACCTCTTGGAATAGCACATCCTCACCAATTCCCAGTAGCAAATGATGCTAAAGCTTCTTCCTTTCAATTTTACCATCATATATAAAGCAAGAAAGGACAACATAGTAGCTGATTCAATATCACGAAGGCCTCAACATGCTGATTTTTTTTAGATTGTCATCTCTTTAGCAGATGCCTTACAGCAACTTCCTGCAGCATTAATGACAGACCCTGGAACCAAAGCTATTGTGGATGCATTACAAACAAATCTACATTCTCACCCAGATCATAGCTTGGTGGAAGGCATATTATATTTCAAGGGATGACTTGTGGTTCTAAATATTGCTCAATTATAAGCTAAATTCTTAAAAGAAGCTCATGCGACTCCAACGAGTGACCATGGAGGGTTCTTAAAGACCTTGAAGCGATTAGGATCAAGTGTGCATTGGTGAGGTATGAAAATAGATGTTAAATAATTTGTACAAAGATGTTTAATTTGTCAACAACATAAATATGAAACTCTTGCTCTTGCTGGACTCCTTAACCCACTCCCTATTCCAGAGCGAATTTGGGAGGACATATCTCTTAACTTTATCACAGGGCTCCCAAAGCCTAGAGGTTTTGATGTTATCTTGGTGGTGGTTGATCGGCTCAGTAAATACAGCCATTTCATTGCTTTGTCACACCCTTATTCTGCAAAAATTGTGGCTAGTTTATTTTGTCAAGAGATTGTACATTTGCATGGTATTCCTCGGTCAATCGTTTTAGATCGTGACTCCATTTTTCTAAGTGCTTTTTGGCAAGAACTCTTTCGTTTTACAGCATATCACCCGCAATCCAATGGCCAAACTGAGGTAGTAAATCACTGTTTGGAGACCTATTTACGATGCTTTGCTCATGAGCAATCTAAATTATGGAGTAAATTTCTCTGCTGGACTGAATTCTCATTTAACACCAACTTTCACTCTTCAGCAAACACTACTCCCTGTAAATTGATTTATGGTCGTGATCCTCCTCCTTTATGCCCTTATGTAAAGGGGGAAACATTAGTTGCAGATTTAGAGGAGCAACTGGAGCTGTGTGACGCCATGCTCAAAGTACTACGTGATAACTTAAAGAAAGCACAAGATAGGATGAAAGCACAAGCAAATCAACATAGGAGGGACCTTCAATTTCAACCAAGGGATGCAGTTTTTCTATGTCTTTAACCTTATTGCCAAAAGTCCTTAGCAAGGCATAAGAATGAAAAATTGCCCCCCTGATTTTTTGGAACTTATACAGTTGTGAGGTACATTGGAACAGTTGCTTATGAGCTTCACTTGCCTCCTGAGTCTAAGGTGCACCCTATTTTTCACGTCTCCCTAATTTGGCCTGCTCGTAGGCAGAAATCATCTTCACCACCAATACCTTCACCTCTCTCTGCAAATCTGGAGCTTCTCTTACTCCCTTAAAGGTATTGAATCATCGCTGGATGTTAGGAGGTATTCTAGAAATTTTGATTCGATGGGTCCGCCGTCCACTTGAAGATGCAAGCTGGGAAGACTATGATTTAATAGCCGCTCAATTCCCCATTTTTTGACTTGAGGACAAGTCTATTTTTCAGGAAGGGGTATTGATAGCATGCTGAGTCAACATGGACGTCTACTATTAACTTATCAGAGAAGAAAGGGGAGGAAGTTAGCATCAGTTATGCAGAATTAAATTGATTTTAATATAATTATTTCATTTTTAGTTTAGTTGGTTAAATAAGTGGATCAACTTTTGATAAGTGGTTCATCCACGTTAAGTCTGTTTGAGTCAATTTTTGTTTGAGTCAGTTATTATCCTAGATATGTTGGGATATTTTCTTATTATTTATTTATTATTTTGGTGTAATTCTTGTATTATAAATGTGCTAGCTTTCATTATAGCTAGACATTTCAAAAAAAAAAAAATACTATTTTCCTTGGAGATTCTCCTACTCTGGCTATTAAATATTTTTAGAGTGAGATTCTTGCTCTAATTTATTTAATAAATTTATTTGTTTTCCTTATCATTCTGAGTTCCTATCACTGATTGGGGAATATTCGGGTCATTATAAACGACCCAACTCAAGATTAAGTTGTATTAATATCTTGATTGATATTGCAACTAATGGGGCAATTATCCTCACATTAATGGCAATGATTCCAATCAGATTATTTCCTCCATAATGGGGGAAAAATATCTGATTTGGTCTTCCTTTTCCAGTGAGGGGTCTTTGAGGCTATAAATAGAAGCTTAAGCTGGAAGCTAAAACGACTAAGCCATTCTCGCGTGTGTATTGAATCCTACAATATGTAATGTGGGTAATATAACAATCATTATCGTTGAATTAAGAGCAATCAAGTATGGGATTTTAGTTTGCAATCAGCTCAATGTTGATGAAGTTCATGACTTACAATTCATTAGAGGCAATCAATATGATTTACATGGGCACAGCAAGAGATCACCCCTTTTACAATGTTGTGGAAGTACAGGAACTTATCTGTGAATATCAGAACTTGGAGCTGCACCATGTTCCTTGTGAAATCAACTCGTGCAGATTGCATGGCTCACTTGCTAGCCTTTTCAATTGAAAAAAAAAAAAAACAATAAAGATCAATGGAGGTTTAAGACGCACCCAAATCATTAAGTAACTAGCATAGTCAAAGAACTCCAGCAATGGTGTTTGATTCTCTAATTCTGTACTAGAGTGAGAGACTATTGTCTCATCCGTCTAATCAGATTCACAGTTCGCTCGAAAAACAAGAGACAAACTGGAAGAGAAATGGAAGCCATAATACATAGTGCTTTTAAAATAACGAATAAATTGAACGACTGCATAGTGAGTAGTTTGGGGATAAGAAAAATTGACTGACAATATAAAAAGCATACGCAATATTAGGATGGATCACCGTGAGATAGATAAAACCTCCAACCAATTGACACAGACAAAAAACAAAAAAACAAAACAAAAAGCATGTAATCTCCATGCTTTTTTGGGTATAATTTCTGCTGTTCAAAATGTGGGAATGTCAAAATCCCACGATTCAATCAAAATGTGGCTATTTCAGTTTTGGTAAAAACTTTCCAACAAGTAAATTACAAATTGTGAGTTATATTTTCTATAGTACTGTCAAGACCATTAGACCTTCTCCTGACAGATATAGATCCCACCGTCCTAGCAAGAATCGCGGGACATTTTGTTAGAAACTGTGACACTTGGTTTTCCTGCAATTTCATGGGATGATCATTTAAAATAAAAATAAAATAAAATTGACTTTTAAAGGATATGTTAAATAATTATTTTTCCATTCAGAAAAAATAATTTAAATATTATTGTTTAAAAATAAAAAATACAGTAAATATACATTATTTTAAAATTTAGCTGTTGACATTTTGTGGTTAATTATCAGGTTAAATTGTCTTATTGTGCTTTCGAATACTGGGATTCAAAGTATATTTTTTTAAAACCTACACTAAAAACAAATAAAAGATTAGAACATTTTAAAATAACTAAAAAACATATCGCAAAATAGAATATAAAAAAACATTAATAACACTTGAGAAGTAACGCAGGCTCACATTGAACAACATCCATGCCAATGCGTTGCAGAGTAAGGAGGAGAGGAAATTAAAGGAAGGGAGAATGACAGAGAAGTTTTAAAAGGATTAACTAATTCAATTTGAATCCTGAATGCTAAACTCTAAAAATTTATAAGTTTAGCTCTCAAATTTTGCAATTTCGTTATAATAAATTTGTAATTTATTTTTTAAATTTAACATGGTTGAATAATAAAAAAATTTGTCTTTTCTATTAAAATTTAAAATATAAATTATAAATTTATCACAACCAAATTGCAAAATTGAAAATCAAATTTGCAAATTCCTAAAATTTAGCACTTGAAACCTAAGTTAAATTAATCAGTTTTTTTAAGACCTCTTTGTCATTCTCTCTTAGAAAAAATGTGGGAGTGGAAATACACACAAAATGGAAGAGAAGAGATAAAAAATGCACCAAATGAATAGAGTAAAGAGAGAGGATGGAGAGTAGAGAAACCAAAAAATTAGTGTGGCTGTTCGTACATGGGCGGCGAACGCATGTTCGAAGAGATGGAAGACTGGATACATCTCATACGGGACTTTACGAATTATGCTTTGTAAAGATATAAAGCTATTGTTCATGCGGATCATTGCCAGACCTTCTCTACACTAAATGGAAGTGAATGAGTTAAATGGAATCTTAGACATGACGTGGGTAAAAGGTTTACTAGTAACGTTAACTAGGAAACTTTCTTTGGATATTTATGCTGGGATATTTGGATAGATAGATGCAAGAAAGCTTTCGTTTCAAACAATACCTAGGGTTACAATACAGTGACGTCTAGCTTTTTCAGAGCTTGTTCTGACGCTGATTTCATGAGAGGTGCACCTTCACTATCTTATGAGATTAAGCACTCCATAGCTAGTGAAGCAAATAAAGGGGATGTGATCAAACTTGACGTGGATGGGCCTGTGCTTGGTGCTATTTGGGATGTTGACAACTCTCGTCTTGGTGGATTCAGCTGCAAACCGATAAATGTCCTGCCAGTAATAGTTGAACTCCTCGGCATCATTCACGGACTTTAGTTATGTTGAGGAAAAGGCTTCCATAGGGAGCACATTCATTGTGATTCTATTGAGGCTATTTATTTTGTTACTAAGGGTTGTGATAACTTGCATCCCTTATTATTGATGATGTTAGGTTTTTGTTTCATTTGGATTGGAGTTTGGCTATTAAGCATGTCCAGAGAGAGTACTCCAATACCTATGCTGATTTTCTAGCTAGATTATCTCATAGGTTAGATGTTAGTTTTTATATCTTTGATCATCTTCCACCTCTTACCCAAGAGGCCAACAGATGATGAAAGTGACCAGTTAGGAGTTTCTTTGTCAATCTAAACACTTTGGTGGTTTCAACGCATTTTCAGTTGGAAAAAAAGAACATTAGAGTGGAGAAGAGAGAAATTACTAGAGAAGAGAGAAACTCATCACGGATGCTTGCACGTAATTCAGAACGGATATAATAATGCTCACGTAAAAAAAAAACACAAGAGGTTGGGGTTACATAGAAAGGACATATACAATTCAATTATTGAAGTGTGGGAAATGTTTACATATTTTGCCAATTGCCATGGTTCAATTATTAAACTGTGTGAATGGAAATGGTTAACACATTTTGCAAATTGCCACAATTCAATTGTTCAACTGTGGGAAATAGTTTGCAAGCTCACGTGATTTTGCCACAATTTTATTTTTGAGCACTTGATGGAATATGAATGAGATTTAATTACTTTTGTTTAAAATTATTTTATTAGTATTGTTTGAATAAAGATATTGAATATCCATTAGATTATTTAGGGTTTATTAAAATTTGATTTAGTATGTAGGGACAATTATTTTTTTAAGTATTTTGGATTTATTTTATCTTTAAATATTATCTAAAATAAAATAAGATATGTAAACTAGCTAGATATCTTATCTTCATCTTTTGTATTAAGATTTAATTTAGATTTAGATTTATTATTATCTTTATTATTTCTAGGGCTTTATAAATAGTCATAGGGTTCTTTAATTGTATTCAATTTTGGCATTTGAATAAGTGTTATATAGTTTTCTCTTTCTCTTCCTCTCTCTCTTCTCCTTTCTCCTTTCCTATTTCACATTAATTTGGTATCAGAGCTAAGTCCCCATCACACTCTTGTGTCAACCAATATTACTTAGAAAGTACAATGTTTTTATTAAAATTCGGAGGTCCAAACAAGGTATAATGAACTCACTATTCAACGCTATGCTACTGACTAGAGTGCCGTCATTACCTTCTACAAGTTTGCTCACCGTTGGTTCTTTAAGGTTGGCAATTTCTTCATACATTTGCAGCATTTTGAGTAATTTTTTATTTTTATTGATCTGAATTTTTGTATTCCAAAAAAAAAAGGAAAAAAGGAGAAGAGAAGAAGAAGAAAAAAGAAAAAAATTGTTATGATGCTT